TATTTTTACTATATAATAACTACTTTAATAAGGCTATCTTTACTACTAACTATATAGAAGAGAAATATAGTAGTATATAGAGTAGTCCTTTAAAGAGAAGATTTAAAGTAGTAAAGTAAGTAATTTATAAGAGATCTTTTACCTATAAGTACTAGTAGTAATATATTAAAGACTAAAATACTAGACTAGTAATATAGTAATAGAAAAGCTAGTGCTAATAAGCTATTAAACTATAATACTTCTTTATAACTAGTATTACTATTATAAATATAAAAGAGGTATATAATAAGTAAGTTATAAAGGCTATATAAGTAAATATATAGCACTAATAAGTAGTAGTAAAAAGGATAGCCTATAAGTAAGAAAAAAAGGTCTAGTAGTAGTATAGTGCTTTAAAGTATTAATAAGTAGATAAATAGATAAAGTAATTAACCTTTAAATAGTAGTTTATTTATACTAGAGAAGATTAACTATATATCTTATTTAACCCTTTAGATCTATAGTAGTATAACTTAAATAATACTATATATAAAGAAAAATTTATAATAGATCTTAATTTAACCCCTTTACTATAGTATATACTTAACTACTTTAAGTATATAGTAAGACCTTTTAGTTAGAGTAATATTAACTAAGTATTAGCTAATATAGCTATAGAGGCAGTAGGGCTATACTTTAACCTTAAGATCTTTATAGACATTAATAACCCTATTAATAAGAATATTAATTTAGTTATATTAAGTAAAGAATTAGTTAGTATACCTAGGAGTAATAATAATAATAATAGTTATATATTATTACTATTACTACTAATAATACTAATAGCTAGCCCTTTAATATTATAAGGTCCTTTATAATATAAGTTATAATATTATACTCTAAAGGATAAGATAAATAGTTAAAGGGCAATAGGGGTTATACTATAAAATATCCTATATATACCTCTATTAATATAAAAAAAGAAGTAGTAATATATAGTAAATAATAATAAAAGTAATACTTATATTATAGTAGTAATATAAATTTATAGTTATTATAGAAAAAAAAAAGATACTACTATAAAGCCCTTAATTAAGGCTATTAATTAGTACTACTTTTGTTATTATATAACGTTATAGTAGTTATTACTTTAAGAAATAAAAAGTTAACTATACTATATAACGCACGTAAAAGTGAGGGTATTCGTGATGTGGGTGCAACCCCCCTTTTCTCACTGTAACCCCCCTTTTTTCGCCCCCTCCGTGAAGAGGGGGTATTTAGCTCACAGCGCTGACTAAGTTGCCCCCGGGTAGTATGCGTGTTTCTCCCGGCCGCTAACGAGGCAGCACGCCTTCTCCTTGAGGTCACCTCACGATCACTTGCAACCACTGTACGGAAAGCAGTGCACGGCTTTACTTCGAACCAATCTATTCAGAATAGCCTAAACCTCTTGGCGAGGCATAAAGTACGACTCGTGGGCCACACCCAAAAACTTGGCCCGGCTTCAGTTCGCGCCTTGTACGCCTTGCCTTGACCAGCTGGCCCCTTTGCAGCCACAAAAAGCAAGCATTGTACATCTTGGCTCTGGATGGAAGCAACGGCGAATATTTTAGTACGTCCCTCCACTAAAGATATCAACATTATGCATGTCATTGCTACCTCAGTCATAGCCATGCAGCTCAGGAATAAGCTTGTATAGAGTTCAGACGTTATTTTGATTTGTTTCTGGCTGTAGACGGTCGTCAGAAGAAACAGTGTGAGTCAGCGAGGGTGTGGGTGCCCCTGGTGTAAGTCAGTGGTTTAGCATGACATCGGTATGCTACTCGCATAAGTAGAGGGTGTTTGGCGCAGCCGGACTGACTAACACTCCGGGTATCTGTTTCTTTCGAATTGGTTTTTGGCGGTTCCGCTACCCGTATGCATATTAACCGCAACCTTGTGTAGCTAAGAGCTTCAGTTTAGGCGGAGGGCTGTCAGAAAAGTTTAATCTAAATTAATGGATGATCGTCAAGCGCGGCAAATATCCTTGGTTGAGGAGTATGATCATCGGAGGTATTAATATGAATCAATCAACGACAATTGGGTACCAACGCCCTTCTGCTCGTCATCCGACAAACTAGTGCATGGTGTCAGTTCCTCAATGACCTTCGGCGACCACCTTACTCCCTCCGTACGGAGTTGATTGGTAGTTACGATTGGAGTAGAAGGCAGCTGATGCTTGGTGACTTGGCTCACATTAATAGACAATGGATTGTTTTCTTGGAATGTTTGCTTGCCTCTTATAGTGGTGAGTGGGACGTCGAGCCGGAATGGTGGCACATCCAATCGTTGTGCCAGACTTGATTGAGGGAATTTTTCCACGTTTCCATTACTCGGTACGCCCAGCGTTATCCTTTTGGCCTCTGTTTCAATGTCATGTTTCAAGCCATATCTTGGCAGACGGAAGGACCAAAAGCAGCCGCCGTTAGATTGATATTGTCCGACTATCAAACGACCAGGTTTGGGAAGCGACCGATGAACGGGGAAACAGCCCGGCTTGCCAAATAGAAACATCGCCTTAGGTGGAAGACACTGGATTGCCATAATCATGTGGTTTGGTTCCTGTTGTCACACGTGTCTTGATAAAGGCCTGGCTCGGCCCAACCGCTTGTGTGCTCCCATACCAACCCGGAACGCGGAATCCGAGAGCCTACAGACGCGATGGCCACGAGAATTGCCTTCTTGGCGGCGGTTCTAGCTGCTTCTGCTTCTGCTTCTCCACTGACTAGGAAAGCCATCGTTGACGACTGTCTCGCCGCAGCCAAGGTCCCTTACAACGAAAAGGATTCTTCTCAGTGGGCCGCTGATGCGGCGCCTTTCAACGTCAGAATACCATTCGTGCCCGTATCCATAGCCGTCCCTCTCACGACAGAGCACATCCAAGCAGCCGTCAGATGTGGCCGAGATAACGGCGTCAAAGTCACCCCTAAAAGCGGCGGCCACAGCTACGCCAACTTTGGCTTCGGTGGTGAAGACGGACACCTGGTGCTTGAACTTGACCACATGTACAACGTCACCCTCGATAATGCCACCGGAATTGCGACCGTGCAAGCGGGTAGCAGACTTGGGCATGTTGCGACTGAGCTATACAAGCAAGGTGGAAAGGCTATAAGTCACGGAACCTGCCCAGGGTAAGTTGATCAGTTCTCTCTCCTGGCCATCGTCTGACAAAAGCAGTGTCGGTGTAGGTGGTCACGTCCTTCATGGCGGGTGAGTCTTCATCCCTATCCACTATGCAGTGGCTTGACACCCCCCGACTGACTAGGAATCGAATCCATCCAGATACGGCATGAGCGCGCATACCAAAGGCCTGGCCCTAGACTGGTTGGTGGGTGCTAAAGTCGTACTCGCCAACAGCACTGTCATCAACGTCTCTGAGTCCGAGCACGCAGACGTCTTCTGGGCCTTGAAAGGTGCTGGCAGCTCCTTCGGCGTCGTCTCCGAATTCTACTTCAAGACCTTTGATGCCCCGGAACAGGCGACCAACTTCGCGGTCGCGCTTCAATGGGATTCAGACAAGGCAATTGACGGGTTCAAGAAGCTGCAAACCTGGGCCGAGACCACGATGCCGAATGAGCTCAACATGAGACTGGCCATATCATCCTTCTCAACAACCTTGGAAGGGATGTTCTATGGCAACAAAACAGGTCTACAAGCGGCACTCGATCCCTTGCTGGCAAGTATAGGAGGGCGATTGACAACTTCGCAAACGACAGACTGGCTTGGCCATCTGCAGCACTTTGGCAATGGCATGGCTCTTGATCAAAAGGACAACTACAAGTTGGTGAGCTACCTCGGCAGCGTAGTCCATCTTGGTACACCTACTTACACACTTGCACATTTGCAGCAAGAAAACTTCCATTCTTCAAGTCTGTATACAGACAAGCTCTCAGACGCGCAAGTCGAGTCCTTTGTCGATTACTGGTATACTGTCGGCAAGTCTATGAGGAGATACTGGTGGATTCAAGTTGACCTCCACGGAGGCAAGAGCTCGGCAATCACTCAGAAGGCTGCGAGTTCGTCGGCATACGCATACCGGAGCAAGTTGTTGCTGTACCAGTTCTATGACCTTGTCGCCTTATCAGCCACCTACCCCAAAGACGGATTCTCGTTTCTCGACCAATTCATCGCGAACACTACCGTAGGTATGGAACAGGCCGCTCGCGGCATGTATTTTAGCTACCCGGACGCAAACATGGACCAAGACAGAGCTCAAGCGGAATATTGGGGGACGAATCTTGCAAGATTGCAGGAGATCAAGAAAGAAGTTGATCCAGAAGAGGTCTTCTACTTGCCTCAGAGTGTGAGGCCGGCGGGTTCCCCTGATCCGTAGTGGGAGTTGCCCGGCCAGATCGGTAGTATTAGAAGAAATGGAGGTGAAGTGAGCGTTTACGTCACACACACATTGGCGAGACATACAACCTATAGTAGATTGCATGCTACGTAGACGTAAAATTGCCGAAATTGTTTCCCCGAGCGAGTCAATGGTGTTCCCCTCAGTATCCATTTGTGGCTATTTGTGAGCTTCGCTCATCCCGGACCAGGGGCCTTGACTCGGGGATTACTACATCGTTGACTGACAATGCCGACAGGTCGCAAATGGAGGAACCGGTGGGGCTCTCACGTTAGAATTGTTATTCAGCTGGACCAAGGGCAAGAGAATACGCCGCTGCGCTCTCCCACTAATCAGTCTACTGCCACTTAACCAACATATCAATCCTAACTATATGACATTCTAGACTCTAGTCCTAACTTAAATCCTAGCGTCCGCCCCATGAAACCCTATTTGACAGCTTATTTCTACAGATTCTAGGAGAGTCTCTAAATAGCTTCAATGAAATTAGGATGTTAGCGAGGAAGGACGCGGGCTAGACGAATCCTACGTTGTCTGGGATTGTTTGTGATTCGAGAGGGCGGCGGGACATCACAGCCCTTGTAATCAAAGCCAGCGCATGGACAAGAGAGAGAGGCCTGTGATGGGCCATTGACAAGCCAATTCCACCCATCCTGTCTTGCGCAGGTGCATAAGAAGTAGTGCTATAGGCTGACCGCGGCCACCCGCCCCTTTTTTGGATACATCATAGGCATCCCGGAATTTATATGTACCAGAATACTACCCGCGTCCGGATTTGGTAGCCTTAATGGGTAATGTACCCTCCAAATGTTGCGATAATATAGCGAGAAGACCCTTGCCACTGATCTTCTCAACTGCCCTATTCGGTCAGGGGTTTGAGCAATTGTGCCTACCTGATATTCATCTAGGTATGATCAGATCAGTGTATTTAAGGCATGTCTGCCGCAGGAACTTAGCAAGAGAATGTGGTCACCACCAGGTCCTCTAGTTCCCACCCCAGTCGCTCATTAGTTGCCCAAGATGCAGCTCAAGGCTCTTCTCGTACCCTTTCTCCTCGCCGAGGCAGTTCTGTCTCAAAGCGTGCCGATCCGAATCATCTCCTTCAACATCCGCTATGCCGCCAAATCTCGTGAATCTGGAGAGAAGCCGTGGTGGGATCTCTTCTGCGGCATCAGCAAGTCTCGATGCAGACAGAAATACGTCCTTGAGGCCATCTCGGACAGCGCCAACGCCGCGCCGGCCGGCGCCGCGGTAATTGTCGGTCTGCAAGAAGCCCTCGACAACCAAAAGGACGACATCCAGAACGGTCTCGGCGACGGGTGGGCGCACATTGGCGTCGGGCGCGACGACGGGGAAAAGGATGGAGAGTTCACCCCCATCTTCTACCGCACCGACGCGCTGAAGCTGGTGTACCAGGAGACGAAGTGGCTGTCGCCCACTCCCGACGTCGTCTCGTACGGCTGGGACGCCGGCAGCAGGCGCATCGTCACCATCGGTGTTTTCGAGCACATTGCCACCGGGAAGAAGTTCATCCACGCCAACACGCATCTGGACAACGTCAGCGACCAGGCCCGCTCCGAGGGAATCAAGGTCGTTGTTTCGAGGATCCAGGCCGTGCAGTCGACGTACGGCCCGCTGGGCGTCACGCTGACTGGCGACTTCAACTCGGACCCCAACGGCTCCGCATACCAAGTCCTGGCGAATGGCGGCTTTGTGGAGGATCTGTATAACAAGGCTACGAGGGTTGGCAGCTACACGGGAACGTACACCACGTTCGATACCTCCCGACAGGACTCGGCTTCTCGTATCGACTTCATCTGGCTTGGGCCCCAGTCGGCGAACAAATACTCGGTCCAGCAGATTGAGATCAAGAGCAACATCGTCGATGACAGAGTCATCAGTGACCACCGTCCCGTTGTCGGCGACGTTACCCTTTTGTCGTAGACGGAGATACCCAAGACTTAATAATAATTGACATGGCTGAAGATGCACACAAAAAGCCCCTCGTCGGACAACTTTGGATTACCACCAACGAGTATGCGTGATCATTCGTCTGATGCTTCTCTTACCGGGCACTGTTGATCTTATGCTCGTTCTCTTGCCAAATGTCTTGTTTCACATGTACATTTTCTTCGGTTGGTACGCGTTGGTGGCGGCAACACCAATCAAAACCTCAAACTAACTCTGCATACCTAACGAACAGTAAGTTACGCAACCCTCAGCTAATTGTGGTTTGATGAGACTCATCAGCCAGTTGGTGGCATCGCATGAGAAATTGCGGCAAAGTACTCAGCCTGTCGTGCAGCAACTAGCCTGTTAGTATTGCGTGGGATGATATATTGAGCGATGTCCAGGACAAAACTACCCGATTAAGTTGTTTTGGGGGGGGGGTTGCAACTTGGAGCAAACCTCGAGACAAAGCAGGAGCAGAATCGGAATTCGTCGTCGATAAGCTCGAATCAAGTCTGCAGGACGAGGATGACAATTACTCCGAAATTGGTCGCAGACATGCGATGGATCTGGTTTCAACGGACCCTAGCGGCCGATCGTCTGAACTCTTGACTCAGTACTACGAGCCGTACGACATAGTCGACGAACAAGTTGAAGCAGAAAGGGTAACGAGAAAGACGTATACGTGTGGTTAGACGTTTGACTGGGAAACAAAGTCTCTCTTAAAGGACATCAAGTATTTGCACGATGTGATTTACACCTCTGAAGACTGCATTGTCTATCTCCCCTCTCTTAACCAGCCGTTGGCTAAGAAGCTGGAAGATGCTGGCGAGTTTCAGGCCCCTGTTAGCTATTGTCCATCGATGTACCGTATCCTCTCAGCAGATTCGTACAGCGCACAGACCACCTACTAGGCCTATTTTGAAAGGCGGTCAGCCAGCCTAGCCACCCACCCACCCATCTAACCCTAACCCTTGCCACCAAACTTGCTGCTGACGTTGACTAACCCCTGCATTTGCCACTTCTAGATCCCTGTTTCTGCCAGCCCGCTAGCCCCTATCCAGCAGCCCCTGGTCAGTGCGGTGTACGAATCTACTGAGAGGATACGGTATGTGTACTGGGTCGTGTTCCCACTACTGCATCTAAAAATGGCTTCGAACTGCGCCCCAATGTCAAAACACTGCGCCTGGCTGCCGCGATCTCCATCTAGTGAGCGATATCCATTGCTAGTGGACATGGGATTCCCAGATAGAAACGGCGGCTCGCATCTGGTGACCCGATAGTCCGTCCACTAATCAGCCACTAGGGCAAGGAATCCAAAGAGGTGTATAATGCGCTCTCAGATGAGTCAGCCGTAACGGCGCCGGCACATGGCGAACACTAACTTTATTCATCTCTTATCGTCATTGATAACAACGCCCGCTGTCGCACATTGTTGCGCTTTCTTCCAGTCACAAGACGTTGGCTCATACCCACGTCTCCTTCTCCGATCGAATCTCTGGTGGCAAGTTCTGTGTTCAAGGACTTCGATCCCAGTCGAGGCTCTCCGACGACGTCCTCGATCATGGTCACGGCCACCTTTGGCCGGCTTGTGCCGCCCACCCAGACCCTTATCTCGCGAGATGACGCATCCGAGATCCTCGGCAGCATCAGTATGGCCGCCTTCCTGTGCCTTTTGGTAAGCGGCCCTGGACGCTGGGTGGACTTCCCCGCTTCCTGGGACTGATGGGACCAACCTAGCTGCCACAACTTGCTGCGAACTATAGGCTGAAGAGCGCCGATAGCTTGTCCATGGCTTTCCTCTTCATCTGGCTCCTGGGCGACGTGACCAATCTGTTGGGTAAGAAGTTCATTTCAACCCCGCGGCTTGGCAACTTAACTCCACACCCGTTCGTCCCGAGCTGATGTTTATCGTACCCGGCACAGGGGGGCTGGCCAACCACATTGCTCCGGCAAGCATCGCCGTCACAGGCTACCTCTGCTTCTCGGACACTACGCTCATCTGCCAGTGTCTTTACTACAACTCTAAGCAAAGGATCAGCGACCCGCCAGATTCAACGACGTTGCAGGCTCATGATCGCCAGCCGCTTCTGGGGCCCTCGCTTTCTGCTAGAGACCCGAGGGCGTCTGGTCAACCTCAAGAGATTGACAGCGAGTCGGCCATCACGCTCCAAGACGACAAGAAGACCCTCGTGCAGGCGGTACGCACCCTTCACGACTGGCGTTTCAACTTGGCTTGTATTCTTGCGGTACAGCTGCTCGGCGTCACCGGCTGGTTTGTGCTCCGTACGGTTGGTCTGCTTGGAGGTGATAATAAGCCCCCCGGAAGTGTAAGCATTACCGATGCACAAGGCATCTCCGAGTCCGTCGGCTCGGCTCTTGGAGTTGTCGGGGCCATCTGCTACCTTTGGTAAGAGTCCGTAGTCGCAAAGTGTGCCTGCGACTGACACATACAGTGCTCGCATACCCCAGATCATCAAGAACTACAGAGGGAAATCGTGCGAGGGTGGGTTTCATCACCCCATGTTCCGTGTTCCCGGCGCTAATCTGCTATCAGGCCTTGCGCCTTTGTTCTTGCTCTTGTCGATCACAGGTAATCTAACGTATGGGCTCAGCGTTATCGCGTACAGGCAAGACAGAGATTATCTTCTCACGAGCCTACCGTGGCTGATGGGCTCGCTCGGGACGATCCTCGAAGATGTCATCATTTTGCTCCAAGTTCGCCTCTACTCGCAACTAGACCGGCCAAGCCAGCAAAGCAGCATCTGAATGATCTTTATTGATGTGATGAACTGCAGCGTCCTGACATTTATAAAGAGAAGTAGTTGATTTTCCTAAGTCTAAGTACAAAAGAAAACTTGCCTAGAAATACTCTTCCTAATGTAGGTCTTATTGGTTAAAGGCGCTACTCTGTAGCGTCTCTAACTAGAACTAGCTACACAAAGCTATCCTAGCTTTACAATATACCCCCCTAGTTATAGAGTTTATCTCTATAACTAAATAAAGAACTATAGATATTTTTATAATAAAAAAAAATAAGATAGTTATTAGTTAATAATAGCCTTTTAAGCTAATTAATAGGTAATAAAGTAAATAATAGTATTATATAAAAAGTCTTTTAATACTATATTTTATTATCTATTATTATTTACTTTAGTAGTAGTTCTTTCTATTTCTTAAGGTGCCTATTTTTTCTAAAATAGGTAATAACTAACTACCTACTAGTTAAATAATAAATATCTTTTAATATCTTATTACTTAACTTTTCTTTTTTTTTTTTAACTAATAACCTATTAAGTAAAGTAAGTTAATATCCTCTTTACCTACTATATATTCTAGTTTATATAGTAGTTCTAAAGCTATTCTTAGATAGCTAATAGTTAAAAAGAAGTAAAAAAGAAGTTATAGCCTTCCTTTTAACTAGTAATATATTTTAAGTAGCTTAAGTTTTTAGTTAGTAATTATTTTTACTTCTTAAGTCTTATAGTTTTTTTAACTAGGAAATTATTTAGATTTATATTTCTACTAATAATCCTCTTTAACAAGAGAATATATTTACGCCTAAGTTTAGACTCCTTAGCTTATACAGTAGTTTAATAGCTAGAACGTTTTTTAAGTTATGTCCTTAATTAGGTATAATGTCTAGTTATAATCCTACTAGAGGTATAGATCCTAGCCTAGTCTTAGGCAACTAGGGTCTTAGTAGGATCCCTACTCCTAGGCCTAGTAATACTTTATCTATTAGTCTAACTAATTCCTTAGTTATCCTTAACTTAGATAAAAGAAGTATAGTGCTTTTTTTCCTAATTTACTTAGGTAAAACACTATAAGAAACTTTAATTATAGTTAAAAAGTATAATATAATCCTTTAAGATAAGTATACTAAGCGTAAGTTCCCTCTTTTTCTTAGTTATAAAGTATTTTCTTACTTACTAATAAATCTTAGTTTATCTAAAAAGGATCTTATTAGTTCTACTAATTTAATAATAATAAGTGCTAATCTAAGTAGTTATAGCCTTATTTACCTCCTTTAATAGAATTAGAGGAAGCACTAAAAAGACTTTATAAAGGGGCCTATAAAGTATATATATATAGTAGTAAAGAAGGTATATTAAGAATAGATTATTACTTTATTTATTAAGAATAAAGATAATTATAAAAATTCTAATAGTAATTATATTTTAGATAAGTTAAAGGATAATTTACTTATTAATAATAATTTAAAAGATAATAAGCTTAGTTATAGCTTTTCTTTTTTACTTATTAATAAGAAGTATAAGGCAAGTAATAGTAAAGGTTTAATATACCCTTATAAAAAGTATATACTTAATATAAGCAGAAACCTAGTTCTTAAGAGAGGTCTATACTAGGACTAGATCTACCTTAGCTATCTTAAAAGTGTTATTTATAGCTCTTCTTAAAGTAAATATACCTTAGTAGACAAAGATAGTCCCTATAGACACTATATTAAGAATAATATATCTTATATTACTATTCCTAATAAGTTAGTTAATACTACTAATAGCTTTATTTATTATACTTACACTAGAGATATAAAAAGTTTAGTAAGTCTTAGATTCCCTTTAGTTATTTTTACTTCTAAGACTAATATTCTAGGTAAAAGTTAAAGTTTAAAAGTTAGACCCTCTATAAAGGTATTACTAAGGTTAAAGCGCTTTATAAAAAGTAAAAAAAGAAGCTTAAAAGGACTAGTAAAGTAACTACTATTAACTTTACTAATCCTAGTCTTTATAATCTAAATATTTATCTATTTAGTTAATTAATTCTAACTTTTATTTTAGTCTAAGGTTATAACTAGGCGCCTAGTTTAGCTAAGAAGCGTAGAACTATACCTCTAGACACTACTCTAGTTATTACTAAGAAAAAGAAAGCTTTAATAGACTTTTTCTAGTTAGTTTCTAAAAGTAATATTGCCTATAAACTTAGATTTACAAGTATAGTTAAATCCTTTAAGAGAGCTATCTAAGACAAGTATTAGCTATAGTTTTTAAGGTTAATTTTCTAAAGCGTTTAGAGTTTAAGATAAGAAAAAAAAAGTTTTAGACTATAATTTCTAGCCTAGGTTTTTACAAAGGAAAGTTTTTAGGCTATAATTTTTAGCCTAAATTAGTTTTTAAGGTAGTATAATTAGACCTCCTTAAGAGGCAAGGTGTTCTACGTTATATAGCTAATATAAGCTAATTTACTTATAGAATTAACTTACTTTTACTCTAATATCTTAATTATCTTTTTCTATATAAGATTATATATATCTATAAGATTAAGTAAAGAATAAAAGTATTTAAACTTAGTGTATAAAAGATTTTTTATAAGTCTATTAGCTAGTATCTTGTTTATAGTTATATAGGTAATATTAAAATTACCTTTATAAACTCCTATTTTAACTATATATTTTAAATATTAATATATTAAAGCCTTATTATAAGTCTTTCTTTTACTAGATTACTAGCCTTATTATTTACTAATTATTATAGTATATTCTCTAAATATCTCTTATAGCTAGTTAGAAGTCTTAAAATAGATATTTAAGAGCTATTACTTCTTTAGCTATCTATTCTAGACTTAGAAGTTTAGCCTTAGTAGTTAAAGTTATTACTATTACTTAGCGTATAGCTTTTACTAGATTATACCCCTAAATAGCAAGAAGATATAGCCTTAGGAAGACTTTCTTAACTCTTTATTATCTATAAACAAAGTGTTACTTACTATTATAAGGGCTATCTTACCCTCTATATCTCTAAAGTAAATTATAAGGTAGTATATTAAATACAAGTATTAGATTACTTAGTTTACTATTAAAATATACTTCTTTAAAGGATTTATAAGGTAGTAAGACAAGGCTAAGTATATAAATATAACATTAGGTTATATTATAATTATAGTAAAAAGGATTAAGCTAATCTTTATTTAGTATTTATAGACCTGTTCTTTTGTTGCCTAGCCTAGGTTATTTTTAAGTATTATAGTTAGTAAAGGAGTTAATAAGAAGATGCCTTCTATAAGGTTAAATTACTTTATAACCTTCTTAATATACACGTTATAGACTAGAAAAAGTTTCTCTGCCTACTAATCCCTTATAATATATATTCTAAGGTAGTATTTAGCTAGGCCTTAGTCTTTTATTTTATATACCTCTTTTAAGTTATTAATAATTTATTCCCTAGCTGCCTAGTTATCTTAGTAAAATATAATAAGAATATTATCTATATAGAAGATTATAAATACTTTTTATTCTTAGTTAGTAAAAAGATATAGATCTTTATCTATAGGTTTTAAACTAAAGTTTTTTAGCTTTATAGAGAATTCCTTGTACTAAAGGAGAAAAGTATTATATAAGCTATATAAAGCGCATATAAGTTAGATATATTTTCTATATACCTTAAATCTATCTAGTAAGTAGTATATAACTATTTTACTATTTAGCTCTATATTTAGAAATATATTAATAATATCTAGCTATTAAATTTTAAGATTAAATTAGGCTATAATTACTATTATAACATAGAAAGTTCTTACTACAAAGGTAGCTATATAGGTTTATTAAAGAAGGTTTTCTAGTTATAGATCTCTTTATATATAGATTCTTACCTTATAATATTCTAGAAAGCTATCTTTATCTACTTTATATATAAATACCTATTTAAGTAGTAAAAGTTTAGATGTTATCTCTAAAGCGTTAATTAGCCTCTAGATTCCTTTCTCTATTAGCTTATTAATTTTAACAAAATAGGCCTTTTTAAACAAAGATTTTAAATTCTTAGGGAGTTTCTATATATCTTTAAAGCTTCTTAGTAGGTCTAGAAGTTTAAAGACAAGATACTTTTTACTTAGTTTAAGGAATAGTCTAGTGTATATAGCGCCTTAAATTAACCCTATTATAGTTATATAGAGGGTTTAATATATATAGTTTAATTCTTTAATTACTTTCTACTAATTAGGCATAAAGGTATTAAAAAAATTATCTTATTCTTTATCTATAAAGTAAAAAGTTATCTTTGTTTTATTCTATAGAACTATTATATTATAAGTAAGTCTTATACTATCTAGGTACTTATGTCTAAGTAGTAGTCTAGTTTTATTATACAGGAGGAAGTTAATAAGTCTTCTTCTATATCTTCTAGACTAGCCTTTATTCTCCCCTTTAGTCTTAGGCAGTAATCCTCTAGTTTAATAACTTATTCTTAATAGTAAAGTTTAGCTTTTTACCCCCTAAGCTACTATAGCTCTATATATATATAGTCTTCTAGTACCTCTTCCTAGGCTAAATAGCCTTTTTACCCTAAAAGGCAACTAGTTTTAATCTATATAATATTCCTCTTGTGCTATTATAAGGTCGTTATTTATTTAGACATAAATTATGTCTTTAATCCTCTCTCTTAATAAAGATTAGCTAAGAGTGTCTATATAGGCACTACTTTTATCTCCTATAGAGTCCTCTAGTAGCTAGCCTTCTATATTATCCTTGCCTATAATAATAGGTTTAGTAACTAGCTCTAGATCTAGTGTAGACTCTAGTAACAGAAGATTTCCTTCTATAAGTTACATTAGTAATATAGGTTCTATAACTTTATTAGTTAGTGTGTTTACTTTAACTATTATTTTAGAAGAGGTTTTTATTAAAGGATCTATTAGATTTATAACACCTAGAGCTTTAAGTACTATGTTTAAATTTATAGAAAGTGTCTTAAGCTTAATAATTTCTTATATAACTTTTAGTTTAATTATAAGACAAGAATCCTCTAGAGTATAGAACTTTATCTTATTAAAAGTTATATTTTAGGTAATA